TGTCCTCGAGTGTCTGGGTGTACAGTCGGATCTTGGACAGAGGAGCATCCTACCAAAAACATGAAACCCTCCGCCGGCCAAAACATACAGAACATCCGAGGGTACCCTCCCCAGGATGCACAAGGACACCCAACAAACACGAAGAACTTTAGGGTGACCCTCCCCGAATCGACCCCGATCTTAGACCTCGGTCCGACTGTATGTGAATCCCATTTCTTGGCACGTCCCGCTGTGAGTGTCTGGCCTTGAGCGTCTGGGTGTAGGAGCGAGTCCGAGTGGACGAGGAGTGCGACTGCGACGACGATGATGACATGGCGGCGGCTACGATGAAGGACAGCGACGACGAGAACTCACAGACAGGCAGGCGGTGACCAGGCCCCTCACCTCTTCTTCCTTCTACTCCTCGTCGCAATTACCCCCTCCCCTCTCTTCCTCCCTCCTCCCTTCTCCCTCCTCTCGCGTCCTCCTCCTTTCTCCTCTGTCCTGCCTCCTCCGTCCTGGCGGCCGTCCTTCCCGCCACATCGACATGATCATGGGGCTCTGAATGGACAGGAGCCGGAGGCACAAAAACCGAGCGCCTCTCGCTCGATACAGCCCCGCGATCTCGCCGCCTGAGGTTCTGAGGCCCAGCGCCTCGCTCGAGAACTCCTCGCAAGCTGTGCTAAAACCACCGGCGTCCAAGCCACCAAGCAGGCACACCGCACGAGGCATCCCCACAGCCCGGGCGCGAGCGGGCGAGCGTCCCCTCTCCCACGGCGCCTCTCCCTTGGGTGGGCCGACGCGTGCGCCTCGCTCGCCGCCTCCTCGCAGCCTGCCCTGGCCGCACCGAACGAAGTCCCAGCCACCAAGCAGGCAAGCCGCCTGAGCTTTCCCCACGATCCGAGCGGGAACGGGCAAAGGGCCCCACCCCTGGCGGCTCCCCCCTGGGGTGCTCAAGTGCCGCGCTGGCTACATCGCGATGAGCACCTGACTGTACAAGGGATGTGTCTATGAGTCTGAGTATGACCTGGCTTAGTATGACTGGATCTGAGTAAGAGCGGTGTGCGTGTGTGCATGCGTGAAGCGTGAATCAGGGTCAGTGCGAGTCTGAGTATGAGCGGGCGGGCCTGAGTGAGAGGAAGTCCGAGTATCAGTGGATCTGAGTGTGAGCGAGTCTGAGCAGGAGTGCGTCTGAGTGTCACTCTGCGCCTGCGTGTGAGTGTATCTGAGTGCGGATACGCCTGAGTGCGAGCCAGCCTGAGTAAGGGTGACCTCGGCAGGCCGGGGGAGAGGAGCACGGGAGGCGGAGGCACCGCACGACTGACGAGAACTCCGTAGCCGGGAAACGGGGGACACCCCCCCCTGGAGGGGAGGGGTCCTCAGAGACGCGTGCCTCCGCGGGCTCCACTCCTGGCGGCCCGACACTTGGGCCACAGGCGCCCGCGAGCCTGCGCCATCGACTCCCCTCGGTGCCCCTCGACCGGGCGCGCCGACGAGGGGTGCCAGGACGAGGGGGTGCAGGCGCACGCGCCGCGGCCCGACGGCCCGAGGCATGTGCGCGGACGATGGGGGGGGGGAGGCCAGGGAGCAGCTGCGCACCTCGCAGCGCCTCAGAGAGCTGCAGGGCTTCGCGTTCGGCTCGGTCCGCGTGGCCCTCCACACCGCTGGACCTCCCGCTCGAGCCCACGAGCGTGGCGACGGTGGCGCACCCAGCAGCTCCCCAGGGAGCCGCGAGGTCTCGGCTGGATCGGCGTACCCAGAGATCCGACGTCGTGATCTTTTCAAGACGGGGTTCCGGGAATTCTCGACCCATTCCCCAAGGCTGGTTTTTTGTCCTGAGTCGCTTTGACAGTACCGGGGCCCGGCGAGGGCCCCTTTAAGAGACCGAAAATAGCGAAAACCCTCCGCCTTGAATTTTTCAATATACCTTGGATCTCTGGGTACCAGGGCCTCCGGGAGGTTTCGTGGCCCCGGTCATCCTACGGTCGGGAACTTGTGCTCAGGGTGTCGCCCCGGCGGCCACGGCGACAGGCTGTGCCCCGCGAGTGTGGAGGGCGCGCCGCCCCGCCTCGCGGCAGCGGGAGGCTATCGGACGTGCTCGGGGCGTTGACGCTTCTGGGGGCAGGGACGTGGACAGCCTGTCGCGCCGAAGCTTGGCAAGGGCCAGCGCCGGCGGAGCGATGCGCGATCCGAAAGTGCCCGACCGCCTCCGGAGACCCGAGGCCGTCCGCGGCGACGCCACGCATCGAACAAAAACTGACCGAGGCGACGGCGAGGGCGAAGCCGACCGCAACAGGCCGGCCGCACGCGGCCCGCGGGAGGGTGCAGCGGCGCGGCAGCGGCACGGACAGCCGACCGCACCGCACGGACCGAACGCAGCTGACTGCGACGCCACCGCACCGGGCACCGACCGCACCGTGGACGCCCCGGAGCGCTGAACGCCCCAACGGCAGGCTCGCGCCGCGACGACCCTCTGGCGTGGGTTTCTGCCACCGCGTGGCTCAGTCAATCGATTGCAGATTGGTTTTTGACACCGCGTTGGTTTCTGCCACCGAGCGAGCGGCGGCGCTCCGATCTGCAGATCGACCCACACCGGACGGTGCTGGGCCACTGGCGGCGTTCGACCCTGCATGCCCGCGGCGGGGCCGCAGCCGCGACGGCTCGACGCGAGCCCACCGTACTCGACGCCCCGGCGGTGACGAGGGGGCTCACCACCGAGGGGGTCGCCTCCAGGACACGGGCCTCCCTGGACCCTGCAGAACCCCTGGGGGCTCCCAAAGACGGCCCAACAAACTACAAAAACCTCCTGGATCCTTGACACCCCTCGATGCCCATGCATCCGGCGACGTGTCTGCATACGCTGCACCGGCGGCAAAGTCCTCCCCCCTCCCATCTCCCCTGGAATTGGGACGGGGGCCCTTCCCCCCCTCCCAAACTAGCCCCCCCTCCTCTCTGGAGGCGGGGCCCGCCGCCCTCCCCTCCCCCTCCAGGGGGGGGGGTTCGACCCCCCCCCCGCGTTCGAGGGCAACCTTTCGCGCCAACTCGCAGGCCACATCTCCACCTCTGAGCCCGACGAGAAGTACCAAACATGTTCATGAACCTTCTGATCGAGTGCACTTTGCAGATTTCACCAGGAGGATGTCAGTGCCTTTCATCCTGGACTTCTAAGAGGAGGTGGCGACACCCAGACAATGCTGGGATCCCAAGGCCATACGGTGACAGACCGTGCGGTGACCTCGAAATCCCAAGAGACCTCACCGCACGGTCCGTCGCCGAACGGTTTTGGGACCCCTGTAGACCCCAGTCGCCCGCGACGTCCTCGGAGAACGAGCCGTGTCCCCAAACCGTGCGGCGACCCCGAATCATCAATGACTCACCTCTCCCTCTCTCCTCCGAATCCTTGATTTCTGGGCCATGGAAGTCGGGTCTCTGGCGGCTGTTCGGGACGATCCACGCATCCCTAGAAAGACCTTGGCGAGGCGCAGCTGCTGGAACGCATCCCGAGGCAACAAAACCCATAGGAGCCGCCGAAAATGCAGGAAAACCCATCATCCCCACCGGCTCATTACGGGGTCACCCAGAGTCCCACTGACCCACCGCACGGTGTGGTCACCGCGCCGCTTGGTCCCCACGAGGAGTAGGAGGAGGAGGAGGAGGAGGAAGAGGAGGAGGAGGAGGAGGAGGAGGAGGAAGAGGTGGAGGAGGAGGAGGAAGCGAAGGGAGGAGGAGGAGGAGGAGGCGGAGGAGGAGGTCGGTGACACACACACGGCGTGGCCCCCACACCGTCGGCCCCCCACCCCCGACATGGCGACCCGAGGGCGTCCCCGGCCCGAGGGCACGGCGGCGCGCCCGCGGCGCCGAGGCCGGGGTCACGCAGGAGCAGCGCCCTCTGGCCCCACAGGCGGGCCTCGCCGTGGCGGGCGGGCCTCGAGACCCGCCCCCCCCCCCCCCCTCCCACCCCCTCCCAGACCTCGAGCTAAGGCAGGATCGGTCCGAAGCAGGAGGAGGAGGAGGAGGAGGAGGAGGAGGAGGAGGAGGAGGAGGAGGAGGAGAGAGGGAGGAGGAGGAGGAGGAGGAGGAGGAGGAGGAGGAGGAGGACCAGAGAGAACCCAAGGCTCATCCACGATGTTGGAATCCAACCTCCCCGAAAGCATGGGTGCACCTCCACGAGGGGAAGTGCCCCGTTGGGGACAAACGTATGAAAACCCTGACGCGTGCCAAGACATCATTCTCAGGACTTCAACACCACGAGCCAACCTGACTGTTACGTCTTGACGATCCTGAGTCGAGCCAGAATGCCATTCTTGGGACTTCAGCACCGCGAATCAACGAAACTGTTGCGCCCTGTCCGTCCTGGGTAGCTCGAAAACACCATTTCAAGAAGGTCAACCTTGAGAGCCAATGAACCTCTTACAAAGATTTAAAGCGAATGTGCGCGGCGCTAAGGCGAGAACCACATTGTGGAAACTAACCGCCTGCAATCTGTGAAACTTCGGCACAGCTTTAAAACGAATGTGCGCGGCGCTAAGGCGAGAACTACATTTTGAAAAGAATCCGCACTCAATCCGTGAAACTCTGGCACATGGTTAAAACGAACGTGCGCGGCGGGTGCTAAGGCGAGAACGACATTTTGAAAAGAAGCCGCCCTCAATCCGTGAAGCTCTTGGAATTTGTTTAAGCGAATGTGCGCGGCGCTGATGCGGAAACCCCATCTTGAAGGCCACCTGTCCTCCATCTGTGGAGCGCTTGCAAGTGGTATGCCCGAGCCTGCGCGGCGCGGCGCTACGGCGCTGAGGCGAGCGACCCGCCCTCCACCCGTGAAGCCGTCACCCGTTTTCGGGCCTCGGGCTCAGCACTGGCAAAGGCAGTCTCGGGCGAAACGTCCAGCCCGCCCTTCCGACGGGCCTCGGGGTGCGACGGGACGCTCAGAGCGTGGGGGGGCCTTTTTTGGAGGGCCGGGATGCCTTTCAGAGAAGCCCTCTGGGGGAGGGCCTCTGAGGACCCCTCCCTGCCTGCGATCCGTTTCGCGATTTTCCTCGCGACGTGGGGTGTTTCAGGGAGCGGGGCTCGCAAGTGTTTCTCTGCGTTTCTGGCTCCTGTTCGGCTCTTGAGGTCCAATGGAGGCTTCTCAAAAGCCCTCGTGGGGACAACTTCTGTTTGGACGCCCGACATGGGTACGGAAATAATGGGTACAACGCCCAACAACAAATGCTGTCCCAAACCAAAAGCGGCCGCTGTTGGGCAAGCGGGCTTCTGTCTCAAATGGACACAGGCCGCGGCGGCGCGGACAGCGAGTCCTGTTCAAAATGAACAGGAGCTGCTGTTGGGCATCGTGCCCATTCTTTTCGTGCCCGTTTCGTTCGTGCCGATTCTGAGGACCCCCCCCCCCCGGCCTGCTACAGGAAGCCCCCCCCCCGCCTTCTCAGACGGCCGCCTCCTCGCGCCCACCACCCCCCTCGCGCGCGCGCTGCGGGCTCGATCTTCTCGCCGGTGTGAGCAGGTGTCGCGACGGCAAGCTCGGACCCTTCGCGGCCTCCGCCGGGGGCCCCTCGCCGGGCCCGGGGGCCGTCAGGCCACGGCTATTACAGGGCAGTTTTAAATACATAGAATTTTCAAAAATATAGGAATTGCATACATGGTTGAATCATGAATGAATCTATGCATGAGCACATCGGTGTTTTGAATACTGAATCCCTGCGATTTGAATACAGGATCCGCACGCGGAGCATGTATCAACAACGGCACTGTAGGGAGGAAACGCCGGCCCAGGGGAGGAGGTCCAGGCCTCGGGGGGCCCACGCCGCGAAGCAGGTCAGACCTCTGGGGGGCCAGACCTCTGGGGGGGCCCACGCCGTGGAGCAAGTCGCGCGTCTGGGCTCGAGCGGGGGGAGCCGGGGGCCGCGCGCCCTCGGCGCCGCAGCTGCCTTTTTTCACGCCAGGCGCTCTGGCCCAGATCTCGGGCCCCAAGGCCCCAGGGCTCGAGACGTGCCGCCGTGGGGTGCAGGGCTCTGGTCGCGATAGTGGTTTCACGTGGCTGTCTCTGCTCGTGACGTGTGGGATCTATCGGGGAAAATGACTCGCACGTGATTCTCTTCGCTTCAGGTATTCTGTTGGGGCCCCTGGAGGCTTCTCATAAGCCCGCTTGGAGCGAGCTTCTGGGGACACCCCCCCCCTGGGCTGCCGTCGGAAGCCCCCCGCCTTCTCAGACGACCACCTCCCCTCGCCCCCTACCCTGCACTTGTTTCTCTACGTCTCCAGCTTCCGTTGAGGCCCCTGGAGGCCTCTCGAGGCCTCAAAAAAGCCTTCTGTCAGTGCCCACGACGTGGTGCGGGATGGCGGGAGAGGGGTTGGCGAAATAGCGAATGCAGCTACTTCTTCCCGCGACTCCCACCAACAGAGGCGACTATATGTCGAGGAAGGCGCTCAGCGAAGGTCCGAAACCGGCTGCATACAAACATTCTCGCGGCCTCCCAATCCTCGCCTTTCGTCCGATCCCACTCCCTAAACATTCTCCGATGCTATTTTTTGTTTTGTTTTGTTTTGTTTCTCTCTCTCTCTCTCGCGTCACTCGCGGGCACAGAACTCCCGATCCTTTCCCCAGGGGTAGTCTTGTGCAGCGTTTCCATGTTTGATAGCCGAGGGGCCCGAAAGCGGCCCCCAGAGGTCGAATTTTTAAAAGAAAACCGCCGCGAAGATTGCCAGAGATCTAGGTTTGGGAGACGTCCTCGTCGTCTGGCTTTTGGGTCATACTTAACTCGGGTCTCCGGCGGCCCTTCGGGACGATCCAGGCAACCCTGGAACGCTCTCGGCGAGAAGCAGCTGCTGGAAACCATTCCGAGGCTGTAAAAAACTGCCGAGAGCCGACGAACACATCCGAAACTTCGAGCCACGAGTCCGAAGACGATCGGACTCTGAGATCCTCTTCCTCCTCGTTGTCCTCCTTCTCCACCCTCTCCTCCTCATATCCTCCTCCTCCTCCTCCTCCTTCTCCTCCTCCTTCTCCTCATGCCTCGTGGCATGGCATTACATGGGCAAATTTTGGTTTCGAACCCCGGCTCCACGGAATATTTTCATGATTGTCCTCCAGGCGCGGGTCCAAGGGGCAGCTCTGAGTGGCACGGACGCGTATTTCCCAACGGCTGGTGACTATGCCTTGACTGACTGGCTGTTACTAGTGTGGGGGAGGAATATGCTCAAAGGGGATGCTATGCTAAAACGTGCTCGACCTGATGGGGACACCAAGAATACAGGTCTGCAGGCGTCATGGCAGGTTGGGCGACAGCTCGGCATGGCCCCAACGCAACTAGAACTACGAAAACGGCGCCTCCCATGTCTCCAGCAGGTGACCAACTATCCACACAATATCGGACAGCTGACCGAAGCTCCGAAGCTATGTTTGGGCAGCTCCCAGAGGAAAATAATCCAACTAGATATGATTGGCAACTTCATCGAGATCCTGATGGCAAATTTCGGGGAGTCGGTAGGCTCTGCAGGCGACACATGATACCGGTACAATCATCCACCTTGAAGAAGGCAAGGAGCTCATGGAGAAGATGGAAGGACATATTTTATGGGCGTTCACCCCACAGCTTCGTGAGACCTTCAAGAATATTACTGTTCCCAAACTACACCAACGTCTTTGGGATGTACTTATAGATGCTCAGGGGAACTCAATTTCTGAAACTAGGAATGGGCAAGCTGAGCAACTGCTTAAACCACCACCTGCTCCTGTCTGGGTGTGCAACGAAACTACTAGCAGTGGGTAGGTGTGTGGACTCTCGTTTGGTTCCCAAATAGCGCGGTACGCACACATGCGTTTCACGAGAGAGGGTAGCCACGGACATCGTGTGCTGAGCCAGCTCCTGACCATTACCAATCAACGCCCCTGGTGTGTGAGCGTACATGCGACAAAGACAATATCAGAACAGCACGTCCGTCGGCTCTTTCGGAATCATGCTTGCCATTGCGACCGCAGCACTGTGAACCTTGAGGTAGTTCACATTTACTGTTGTCATGTCCAGCCTGTGGTCTGGAACGCACTTCGCTCGAGCCACTCCAGAGGCAGATCAGATCGCACGTCGAACTGTTGAGCACAGCTCAGATTGTCTTCACAGCTGATGGCGTAATGAACCCATCGCATTCGACAAGGTGAATCTCGCGGAGGCCAATAAGAGGCTGACAATGGACTCTCCCAAGATCTCCTTCGGTGGTGGCTCCAACGGCGAGTGCACCCCCAAGCAGCGCTGGCCGCATGGCGCCATCCTTCAGCAACGCTGGGGACAGAAGCAGGCATGGACACGGATGGGTCCGACGGCGAGACGGCGACGGCGATGATGAAGTTCCACCTCAACACAGCGCAGCGCAACAGAGCGCTGTAAGGATGCCTACTATCGACGCAGCTGTTGCCGCAAGACAACGGGCTGAACGCACAAGCGATGGCATTGAACGAGCAGTACATGGATACAGGCAAAACGAAGCCCGCGGATCATGGACAGGGCCATCCAGGCCTCGTGCTGTGCATGATCATGCTGGAGACGTTGGCCGCCAACACCTGGCTACAGCAGGAGGCAGACGTTCAGAAAGAGATGAAGGCCCTCACCGACTTCGTAGCCTCCCGAGCAACCCGTCTAGAAGACTGGAATACGTTTAAGCCCCCCGTTCCCTTGTAGCAGACGCTGTCCGCTAAATTCCTTGTAGCAGACGCTGTCCACTAGTCCGCTACAATCGGGCATGTCGCATGCATCTCGTATTTGCTGATTGCCATCCGCCTGCTCCAGCCACGAGTCCAGGAGAGAGAGAGAGCAACAAGAGATGGCGCTTGTCTGACATCGGCGGGGGACATAGCGTTCCCACGCCGCCCATCGGTCGCTGCTGATTTGCCGAGCTCTGACGCTAGACCATTTGATGCTTGGTGCCGCCCCCTCCTCCCTCTTCCTCCTCCTCCTCCTCCTCCTCCTTCTCCTCTTCCTCCTCCTCCTCCTCCTCCTCCCTCTCCTCGTCCCCCTCCTCCTCCCCCTCCTCCTCCCTCTCCGCCTCCGCCTCCGCCTCCGCTCCCTCCGCCTCCCCCTCCTCCTCCTTCTTCTCCCCATCCTCCCTAGACGCGACGTTACGTTTTTGTGTATCACAACGAGGACCCTTTGGAGGTTTGGATTTCTTTGCCGGGACTGGCTTCTCATCCCGACGTTTCGTGTCAGTCCCGGGGCCTGGCCACGGCCACTGGAGGCCGAAAATGTGCCACAACCTCCCGTCGTGATTCTTGCCATCGCTCGGACGTCCATCCCCTGGACTCTTCGACTTCGTGCGTGTATGCTTTCGCAAGATGAGCCAGGATGCTCCTCGTTGGCCCTCGCCGCGGAAAGTGCACACGCCCGAGCGATGCCAAGGATTCTCTCGCACCGAGAGGAGGCCCCCCAGCCGGCCGAGGATAGGATCAGTCAGCACCGGATCGGGAAATCGGATGGGACCAGAACGCGCATCGAGTCGGACAGCATCGGCACCGAGCTGGAACCGAATTGGATGGGCTGCACCAGGATGATTGGCATTCAAAGGGTCCCCTAATCCTGTGGGAGGGCACCTAAGTTAGGAGGGCCAGACACAGTATGGATAGGGGCTCATTCCTGCAGACGAATCGAACCCAACCGCCCACATGTATGATCCAGAATGCAGAGACGGGAACCTGGGTGAGGCCACGTCTTCACTGCGCCATTCGGGTCAGATCAGAGGCTCTCCTCTTCTCACTTGCAGGATGCACAGCAGCGCCCTGCAAACATCGGGCCGCAGCGGATCGCCCGCACGTCGGAACCGAATCGAATCGGCAGAGCCGATCGGGCCGAGCTGGGTCGATCGGCTCGAAGCGGACCCTGCGGCAATCTTTCGGGCGGTCGGTCCCCGCCTCGCGCCAGGCGGGTGGCTCCCCCGGCGGCGCGTCTGCCCGCGCCTCCGCCGCGGCCGCTCGCCTCAGGGGGCGGCCGCCGCGGAAGAGCTGCAGGAAGCTGCCGCGCTGGAGGCACAACCGGTCCTCGGCTGCAAAATTGGCCCGAGATGGGTACGGAAAAAAACGGGTACGATGCCAAACAAAAGTTGTCCGAAAACGACAGGGGCCGCCGTTGGGCAGGCGAAAATCTGCCTCAAACGGACAGCGCCCTCGGCGGCACCTATAGCGAGTCCTATTCAGCATGGGCAAGAACTGCTGTCGGACTTAGTCGCCAATTCTTCCGTACCCATTCCGATCGTTCCGAACCCCAGGGAGGGCGATGTAGAGGAAGAGCCCCACACATAAACATAAACTTTCGACGGTCCGCGCGGATTTCTTGGATTTGCGCTGGGCCCCCCTCCCTGGCGCGTGGAGCGCGCCAGGGGCGGCCCAGCGCGGATCCAAGAAACCCGCGCGGAGCGTCAAAAGTTTATGCTTATGTGGTATTGTCTTCTTCGACGATGTCAGCCCCTCAGATCCGAGCGAGGCGACAGAACCCGCGACAGAGCCGGGTTTCGGGACGTCCCTGGCCTCTGGAGAAATCGGTTCCCGGCCGCAGGGCCGTCAAAGAGCGGCGCGGGATAAAAAGCCCAGTCCTGGGGAAGGGGTCGCGATCCGTGGAAAGGTGGCTGTCCAGGTACGGCAGGTTCGCGTCGTGTCGACCCCGGCGTTGGTTTCTGACACCGCGGAAATCGTTCACCCTTGAACGATCGGCCGTTTCTGAAACGTCCAAATCGTTCCACATTGAACGATTCTGGGTCGCCTGCGGCGTTCAAAGATGAACGCCGCTGGCGGGGTCGCCGCCAGTCGACACGACACGAACCTACCGTAAATGGTTCGCTCTCTGTCTGGATAGGGTGGATCTCTGATGGCCCCTGGGCAAAAGGTTCAGTCTCCGGGTGATGCCATCCCACGTCGGCTTCGGATGTCTCAAGATGTCCCTTGGCTCAAGTCGAGGCTCTGCGTCCCACCCCAATGCACCAAACACCGCGCAATTACGCCATAGACGCCCACACAACACACGCACTGAAATCCTAGGACGCACACAAGAGCTAGACACCCGAACAGTCCACGGAAAAAACCCTGGACGATCAAGAAAGATGCTCCCTTAAATCTGCTTGTGGTGACTCCTCAATCACCGCCCGGGAGGGCGTACAGTCACCGCGCTAGCACAGGGGACGCCAGATGAGGAACGGAAGAGCTCGTCTGGCCGCGGCGAGCCGCGGCCACGGACAGGCTCCACGACCTGGACCCGAGCAACGGCTCCCAAACCAGGGCCCCTCCCGAGCCCAAAGCAGCCCTTCCTTCAGCGCCTTGAATGTAATGTGAGCCACTTCTGTCCACCTCTTTGTCTGGTGCCCAGGCAGATATGTTGGGTGGCGTGCTGCACTTCCCGTTGTGCGAATCAGATCGTCGCCCGGCGAACCAGGCATCTCACACGAGCCGATCTGCGATAGACCAACTCCTGCAGTGAACCCTGGCCTGAGAGCAAAAGCGAACGCGCCGCATGCGAATCTTTCCTGGCCGCTTCTTTCCACCTCTCCGCCCTGAGGGTCCTCTCCTTAAAAGGCCTACCTTGGCCGTCCTGGGGCAACCCTTTTTCCAGCGCCATTTTGGAGGGGAGGCGAGTGAACGGACATGGCAGCATGACGCCACGATCGGTGACGCCAAGGTGAAACCACCGTGCAATCTCCAAGGCTGTGCGCACGGGTGACACACGAACGATAGGCTGATCAGCCGCCCGTATTAGCGTCTAGTGGCGCCTATTCGCACCTACTAGCCGGCCGCTCTGCGGTTGATCGGGAGTTTCTGTATATAGAAGAAGGTGCGTGCGCTTGTTGGCGAGGGTGAGGATGAGGTTCCTCCTTCTCCTCCTCCTCCTCCTCCTCCTCCTCCTCCTCCTCCTCCTCCTCCTCCTCCTCCATCCTTCTCTTGCCTCCGTCTGTCCTCCTCCACCCCGCAGCTCCATCATCCTCCTCCTCCTCCTCCTCCTCCTCCTCCTCCTCCTCCTCCTCCTCCTCCTCCTCCTCCTCCTCCTCATTCCTCCTCTGGGCACCTCCCCCGGGGCGCGGATCCACCGGATCTGTCCGGATCTGTCCGGAAACGGTGCCGGAGGCCGCTCTGGGCTCCTCTGGGCACCTCCCCCGGGGCCGGTTTTGTGAGGATGTCTCAAGCGAGGGCGCCGGTTTGGGATTCGTCACCGGATCCAGCGGATCGGATCTGTCCGGAAACGGTGCCGGAGGCCGCTCTGGGCTCCTCTGGGCACCTCCCCCGGGGCCGGTTTTGTGAGGATGTCTCAAGCGAGGGCGCCGGTTTGGGATTCGTCACCGGATCCACCCAGGGATCCACCGGATCTGTCCGGAAACGGTGCCGGAGGCCGCTCTGGGCTCCTCTGGGCACCTCCCCCGGGGCCGGTTTTGTGAGGATGTCTCAAGCGAGGGCGCCGGTTTGGGATTCGTCACCGGATCCACCGGATCTGTCCGGAAACGGTGCCGGAGGCCGCTCTGGGCTCCTCTGGGCACCTCCCCCGGGGCCGGTTTTGTGAGGATGTCTCAAGCGAGGGCGCCGGTTTGGGATTCGTCACCGGATCCACCGGATCTGTCCGGAAACGGTGCCGGAGGCCGCTCTGGGCTCCTCTGGGCACCTCCCCCGGGGCCGGTTTTGTGAGGATGTCTCAAGCGAGGGCGCCGGTTTGGGATTCGTCACCCGATCCAGCGGATCCACCGGATCTGTCCGGAAACGGTGCCGGAGGCCGCTCTGGGCTCCTCCCAGAAGTTCCTCCGGCGACAAAATGTCAGTGGAAATCGTACATACCTCAACATCAGCAAAAATGGCTGTGATAACACATCAATGTTTAAAAAGGCTGTGCGACCCAATGTTTTCAAGAAAAAGCTGTGCTGCTACAATAAGGCTGTGCTAAACCATTGTCTATCAAAAAAGCTGTGGGATCTTATCTGGAGCCGTCTTAGAGCCCTATATAGTTGGTGCATATGTAATGAACAAATGATGAGGAAGGGGGGAGATAAAGAGAGATAGAGAGAGAGAGAAAGACAGAGAGAGAGAGAGAGAGAGGAGGAAAGGCGGAGAAAGAGAGAGAGGGGGGAGGAAACAAAATAGAGAGAGAGAGAGAGAGAGAGCTCGCGCTGCCGAGCGGGCTCGAGCAGCCCAGCCTCGAGGCCATGAGTCTCGAGGACAGCCCTGCGCCTCCATCAGAGGCGGCGCCATGGGTGGACGGCCCCGCCCTGGTGTGCCAGGACACATTTATTTTGTTTGGGGACAGAAGACGAGGAAAAAGGAGGGAGAAGGGGGAGGAGGAGGAGGAGGAGGAGGAGAGGAGGAGGAGGAGGAGGAGGAGGAGGAGGAGGAGAAGGAGGAGGAGGAGGAGGTGGTGGAGGCGAAGCAAATTGAGAGGTCACCATCCCGATCAGCCCAGCTCAGAGGCGGGAGGGGGAAGGCCTGGCGTGGGCCCCTCTCGTTCGAGGTCCCCCCTTCCCTCGGGGCAGGGCATGGAATGAGCGGAATCGGCTGGGAAGAAGGAGGATAAGGAGGAGCGGGGGGAGGAGGAGGAGGAGGAGGAGGAGGAGGAGGAGGAGGAGGAGGAGGAGGAGGAGGAGGAGGAGGAGGAGGAGGAGGATGATGATGAGGAGGAGGAGGAGGAGGGGGGGAGGAGGAGGATGATGATGATGATGATGATGCGGAGGAGGAGGAGCAGGACGAGGGGAGGAGGAGGAGGAGGAGGCTCCGCGGAGGAGGACTATAGAGGAGGAGAAGGAGGAGAGGAGAAGGAGGAGGAGGAGGGGGATGAGGAGAAGGAGGGGGATGATGATGATGATGCTGATGCTGATGCTGATGATGATACTGGTGATGATGATGCTGATGATGATGATGATGATGCTGATGATGATGGTGATGATGATGATGTGATGATGATGATGATGATGATGATGATGAATGGGGAGGAGGAGGAGAGGAGGAGGAGGAGGAGGAGGAGGAGGAGGAAGAGAGGAGGCAGGAGAGGAGAGGATCGAGGGAGCTGAGGAGGATCGGAGGAGGAGGAGGAGGAGAAGAAGGAGAAGGAGAAGGAGGAGGAGGAGGAGGAGGAGGAGGAGGAGGAGAGGGATCTCCAGGCGCTGATGCCCTTCGTCACGGAGGCGGACTTCTTCACGTATGGCGATGACACGAGGTTCCGCGACGTGCAGCTGGATACGTCGGCCATCGAGGAGGCCCGATTGCAGGGAAGGGGGAGGGAAGGAGGAGAAGGAGGAGGAAGATGGGGGTAAAGATGTGGAGGCGAACAGGAGGTGATGCCGAGGGTGAGGAAGGGGGGCAGGGAGAAGCGGGGCATGAGAAGGGCGAGGATGACGGCGAGAAGACATGAGGAGGAGGAGGAGGAGGAGGAGGAGGAGGAGGAGGAGGAGGAGTAGGAGGAGGTCGAGGAGGAGGAGGAGGAGGAGGAGGAGGAGAAGGAGGAGGAGGAGGAGGAGGAAGATGAGGAGGAGGAGGAGGAGGAGGAGGAGGAGCGTGAGGAAGGTATGCCAATGAATCTCGAGTTCAAATCGATGAGTTTAAAGCTGTCCCCGATGGTTTTGCGATGAGTTTAAAGTGCTCCCCCCTCGCCTGGGACCCGGACTGTCGGAACGATGAGAAAGATTTGGCGACCTGCTCATTCGCTCCGCCCCCCCCCCATCCTTCCCCGCGCGAGTCCCAAGACATGCTGCTCGAGCTGCTCAAAGTGTTGGACGGCCGCTACTACGACAAGGAGCTCGGCATCTCGAGCTTGTCGCTCATCTACGGTTTGAAGAATTTCGGCATGAGGGAGCAGGCGCGAGCGGGCGGCGGGGGAAGGATGAGTAGAGGACAGGGGAAGGGGTCAACATATCAGGAGGAGGGTGGCAGGGGAACGGGCGAGAGAAGAGGAGGAAAAAAGAGGAGGAGGGGGAGGAGAAGGAGGAGGAGCAGGAGTATGAGGAGTAGTAGTATACGAGGAGGAGAAAAGAGGACGGTGAGGACATGGAGGGGAGACGCGAAGAACGAGGAGGGGAAGGAGG